CTCCGTGCACATTGATACGAAGTTTAAGTACATGAGTTGGCTTGAATTTCAATTGAAGTTGCTGAGAATTAAGACCACAAGATGTGCACTGGCGCACAAGGGCGCAGCCCCTAAACGTTTAGGGTTTGGGATTTCAGGGTTTAGAGTTTAGAGACTTTAGGGTCCCGTCCGAAAGAACCCTTAAGCCATAGTCACCCAGACGGGCTACGCGCCCGCAGGTGGGTCCCATCGCGGACATGATGGATTGTATTGTTGGTGAAGCACTGAGCGACGAAAAGAAGTGCCAGGTTGTCTTCGCTAACATGTGTGATTGCGGCATGGAAAACGGCCACCGGAAGAGCTACACAAAAGCCACTGCCGGCGCAGCCGGGGAACCGCCGACCGGCCTGGAGATGAGATGCGTGCCTACCAACAGGCTCTTTGGTAAGGGGTTTCGATTGAAAGCTTCGGTGGACTCCACTGGGGCGGTCAGCAGCGAGGTTTCGCCAAGGGGAGGCGTGCAGCTGCCGGGATCGGAGGAGGAAGTTACTTACACTGACTACTCCAAGGTGAAGGCCGCAGCGAACGATGCGAATGAGAAACTCAGGACCACCCCCACTGAGGCCCATGACAAATCCATTGAAGAAGCTCGGCGGTATTGAGAACTGCAGCTGCTAACTTGAGCTTCATTTTGCAAAGACATATGGGGCAACCAAGGATGAGATGACAGAGCAGCCGAGCGGATCTTGTGAAGGGAAGTTGACCGCTGCGGTGGATGCGATCGTGGCATTTAACCCAGACAATATCTTTGTCAAAGTCTCGACCAAAGGAACCGGCGACTATGTCAAGACAGAGGCTAAGGTGTCAGGTTGGGTGCGAGCTTCCGTGGAAGCATCTGTGACGGGAGAAGGCACTTGCTCCTACGAAGCTGTCACGGGATTTCCCAAGAAACCCGTGAAGAAGATGTTCTGCTTCAAGGGCGGCTGCCTTCCGGCCTCAGCTTTTGCACACTTTCCTTTTTTTCGGGTGACACTCGTCGTTCGAGCCCTGCAGCGAACCCTGCGATCTGCGACTTGTAACGGGTCCTCTGCTGTGCAACCCAGGCGTCATCTTCGCAATGCAGATGCTTGCGACACTGAAGATAGAAGGCACGCTGACCGGATCGATCACGCAAACGTACGACGTAGACTTCTACGTGGAAGGCCTCGCTGCATATAACCAAGTCAGCAGGGTGCGGTCAAGTGACTCCGAGAATTCCGGTTTCCTTGCTAGGAACGGCCGAGATCAACACAGGCGAGATAGAGGAGTCTAAGGTGGATGCAGTTGTGAAGAACGTCGAGTACAAGGCAAGGCTCGTCTTGCATGTTCCGCACGGCTCCGCGGGGCGCGTCCGTTTTCTGCAGGAAGGAATCAAAGTCGCGGCGAGCGCCACTGCTTCCGTGCGCGTGAGCGTGGGGCCAAAGTTTGTGGCAGTGGACTCAGCCGCCTCAGCCGGACCGCAAGAGCCGACACCGAAGTCGTGAGCCTCTGGTGTCTGAGGTCTGGCCAACTCCGGGACTTCCGTTGACCTTCTTCCCTCAAGCCCACGCGAAAGCGGAGGCTTCGGGCAGCATCCAGTATTACTCCAGGTGGGAGTTTCCGAAAATAAGGGTACCTGATTTTGGGGTCCTTACGATAAGGATCCTACTATTTAAGGTACTATATTGGGGTCCCCTATTTTCGGAAACTCCCAGGTCCAAAGATTTCGGCGCGGGCACAAACATCAAGCAGTCCAAAGATGGCGGGGCCGAGGCATGGACCGTTTTTGGCTCACTCTGCTTTATGGTTTAGAGAGCTTAGGGTTTAAGGTTTATAGTGTCTAGGAGTCTAGGGTTCAGAGTTCAGGGTTTGTAGAGTTTAGGCAGTTCAGGTTTATAGGGTTTAAACTTTAGAGATCAAGATTTGGGTATTCGGGGGTTGAGGGTTGTGCTACACCGTTGAGCCTTGTGCAGGGCCTCTGGGCATTCCATCTGGGTGCATGTCAATATTTTGGTCCCTTTTGGGATCCTTAATTTGATACGGCACCTACTATTTGGTGTACCCCACAAGGGACCACCTATCTGGCAGGACCATTCGTTCACAGCTCAACTCCAGATGTGCGCGGCGGCAGTCGGGATCCCAGGCACAACATCTGTGGGGTGCTAGAGCCTACTCTGTGGAGGCCGGCCTAGGCAGCAAAGAGCATCTCCTTCAAGCAGGGTGAGGGTGATCTGCACGATTTTGGGTGCATTCTTCGAACCCGATAGCCAGACTCACCGGCCGTAGGCACTGTCTTGTGCAAGTGCTGTGTTGCCGGGCATTGGGTCCGGACCTACGCAGCACTCACCAAACCCTAAACCCCACCTCAGGTCTTGAGCATCTATATGGACATGGGCATCACCGGATTTGCCCTGCCGCCCCCATTGGACAAGCTGTTCGATGACCTCAAAGACATGATAAAGGATGCCATGGTCGATAGTTTAAACAGCAACAGGCGACAAGGTGACCCCAAAGGGAAGTGTCTTCCGGCGGGTACCGACACAGTGGTGAAAAAAGTTGGAGACACAGCTGCGACGATTGTTGCAAAAGTCATTGCCAGCCTTGGCCTCCCTTTGCAGCTGCAGTTGGTGGAGCTCTTGAGCTCTGACAAGCTCTTTTGCAAGGACTGTCTGGTTCTTAGTAGGGAGTGGGGGAATGGATCCCTATGATAGTCCCTTGCTTATAGTAGTCCCTTCAGCCCATTCCCCCGTTCCCTAGTAAGAGCCAGACAAAGGAGCCTTGGAAGACGGATGGCTTCGATGAGTCGCCCTGCGCAGAACAACTTGGCTGCAGCGGGTCTGCTGGCCCTGACGGCCTGCCCGAGCCCGGGGTGGTGAAGCAGCCCGCCTCGCCGACCTTCACGGAAGTGACACCCGAAGGTGACCATCAGTGCAAGACACATGTTACACACCTCGCCTTCGGAGATCACTTTCTTGAGATCGGCAGCTTCCGCATCGCCGAGCACGATTGGGGGGAGTGGTTGTCCGTCACGCACAAGGACTCGGGCTCTGCGCTATGTAGCACTTGCCTTCGAGTCTATAGGGATGCGACGATGCCGCAGGACCGCTCGAATGCGATCATCCTTTTCAACAAGGGCTGGCAGGCTGCCAACCAGGACACCAATTTCCTCTCGAATCCGAGATGGAGGAACGAGGCCTGGACAAGGCCTGGAGCAGAGTGAGACATTAGCGCCGTTAGTAGGGTTTAGGGTTTAGAGCTTTAGGGTTTAGGGTTCTGGGAGCCTGAGCATGCAGAGTTCTGTCTGCAGGGGCAGAGGTGCAGAACACGTGAAAAGCAGCATCAAAATGGGCTTCCAGTTCATCCAGATTGGAAGCTTCCGCTTGGGCGCGGACGACTTTGCTCTCATGGTTTCGCAACCGCAGCTGCAAGACATGTGACACTTTCCATGACAGTTTGCAGTTTGCGCAGGGCTCTTGCTCTCTTGCTCTCTTGCTCTCTTGCTCTCTCTGTCTCTCTCTCTCTCTGTCTCTCTCTCTCTCTCTCTCTCTCTCTCTCTCTCTCTCTCTAGCATTATTATGAATGCTACGATGCCGAATGGCATTGCCTCAATTTTGGACAGATCGGTTTGACGTCACAAAGGAATCTCTGCTTGAGTGTGACTGTGGTGGGGAAAGAGATTGATCTTGGTTGCTCGGGTAGTTGTAGATTGTACTGTTGAGTTTTGCATGGTAGCGGAGCTTCGGCTCCAGAATCAGGGACTGGCGGAGAGATCAAAGGGTTGGGGAAGTTGGAGAAATGGGAAAACTGGTTGTGGCAGCTGAAGCGATACAAGCCATTGGCCAAGCTGCTAATGGACGATGTTGAAGGATCCAGCCGAATGATACCTGATGATTTGTGTGAAACGTTTTAGTGTTCAGCAGAACCGCACCCAGAATGATCAGCTTTCTCTGTTCTAAAGGAGCAACTGCGTATATGCTGGCGCAAATCACTGATGGTGCCGCGCGAGCGATTGTTCGCAATGAGGACACGGAGAATGGATTCGAGATTCGGCGCAGATTGCACAAGCATTTTGCCAAAGCCAGCGAGATGTACAAACCTCTGGAATGGAATCATTGGTTTTCGCTTGCGCAATGAACAACATGTAGAAAGTGATCTGAGTGAGTTCATTATCTTGAAGAACAGACATGAGAAGACGACTGGCAGGCCACCGGACGATGACCTCTTGGTAACGTTGCTAATGCAGAAGACTGCTGGTCCGTTGAAGCAGCATCTGAGGTTAAATGTCAAGAATATCAACACCGTTCACTGAAGCATTGGAAACAAGGAGCACTGAAAGCAAAGAAAGGACAATGGAAAAGCAAAGGATACAAAAGAGGTACAGGAATGTACCAGAGAAAAACAAAGGGATACAAGGGCAAAGGAATGTACAACGGAAAAGGCAAAAAAGAGCAAAGGATACAAAGGAAATTGGAAAAGGCATGAAAGGAAAATGTAAAGGACAAGCATGTTTTCTGTGTGGCGACCCAAGCCGCTGGAGCAAGCACTGCTCTAAAGCTGAGGAAAATGTTAGCGGTGACTGAACCTGAACAACGAAGTGGAAGCGAATGGGGTGATGACTGGAGCCAATGGAGTCTGGATGACTGGTCTCATGATGACCGGTCTTGGGATGAATGGTGAGTGGATGGATTGTCTTGATGATCGGTCCGGCGACCGGTCTTGGTACGAGGACGACTGGAGTTCTTGGCCTGAGGACTGGTCCTAGGACGCTCAGGACTGGTGGAGTCCAACTGAGGCTCAGCAGCAATTCTCGAATGGCGCTGGAATGTCCCTCAGGACACCGCCAAGAATGAACCACCACAGACTGTTTCAGCAGGAACTGTCGAATCGTTGGATCAGAGTGCTCCCAAGTCTTCAAGGACTGTTCGGGGAGCAAAGCCCGGACTGGTGACGAACTTGTTCGTTGGAGCGTGCTTGTTGACTGTTGCGCTGAGTTCCGGAGTGCCACCAATGCCGACTCCGAGTGTGCCAAAACTTGACGCAAATGCCCGAAAATGATCCGATGGGTTTTGACGACAGCTTGATTGAGATTCACATGCACTGTTCGGCAGTGGAGCTTGCACGAAGTGTTGTTCTGAATGGTTTGCGCCGGATTACCCAGTGTTGCCGTTGGGCCGTTGAATGAAAGTGCACCACTACTGTGGAGCTAGTCTGGAAAGTCTTGATTGTCCCCTGCCGCTTCTTTGGTGGGAAATCCCCAAGCTAAGGGCTCCTCTTCTGGCGCCTCCCCCTCTCAACCAGCCCCAGCTGCAGACGAGGAGAGGCCGCCGGCGAGATCACTCTGCCGACGTCCAACAGAGCGTTCTGGCCCTCGGTGATTTCTCAGGGCGACGGCGTGGACGCCGGGCTCGCGGCCGTAGCAGGGCTTCTTTGGGAACAAGGGGGTCGACGAAGAGAGAACGGCTGCAGGAGCAGCTTGCTCAGAGGAGCGGGTTGCTCTTGCAGGTGTCGCAACAGTTCTGGCTGTTTTCGAACACAGCGGACAGCCTTGTTGGCCCCGCAGAGGAGCTCACGGCTCTCGGCCTCATTGCGATCGAGCAATGCGCTCAAGACGGGGGGTCGTGGGAAGTAGGGTACCTTCGCAGCCTCCTAGAGCATCCTTCGCGTCAGCTGTTCCAGCATCGCCCGCAGAGTGCAATCCCAGGGTCCGGGCGTTTGGCGAATGTCGTACATCCGCGAAATAGATCTGATACAGACCCTGTGCGCGGAAGCAACTCAGAGCCGTCCGAAGCCTCCTTCTGCAGAAGGAGATCCGACACCTGCTGCCAAGCCGAAGCGACCAAGGTTCCCCAGAAAACCCAAAAAGTCTACAGCTTGAGGCTCATCCTGAGCCCTCACTCTGCTTTGTTCGACGGCCTGCATGGCCTGCAGCCTGACCCTAACCCGAGGCCCCTTCGGTTTAGGACCCTCCGCGTTTGGGTCTGTGGTGCCACAGGCCTGCTGCCCAAGCCCTAGCCTTAGGCCCCCAAAATGTAGGCTTCGCCGTTGTTGGGTTTGCGTCCGTCTGGGCTCTCCTGGATTCCCTTTGACCCAAACCCTAGCCTCAAGGTTTATGCGACATGACGGCAGTTGCAAGTGTGGGTTTTTTTTTTCGGAAAAATCACCACTTGCGATGTGCCCTCTTTCGGGTGCTTCGCTCCTTTCCTTTGGAAGGTGCTGGCTCCCACGTGCTCCAGGCTCCTCTGCCTCAGGTCTGCGTGCCATGAAAGCCACCTGCTCGCGCCGTAGCCTGCTCAGGGGAAGCTTGCTGGTCCTATGCTCAATTCATTTCCTGCCAGTGTGGAGGTGCCTCTGGTCCTAGCAGAGAACTGCATGCTTTTGAGGGTGGCGATAGCCCTTCTCCCGTGTCCCCGACGAGCGGCTGCCTTAGTTTTCGGGCTCATGGATTGACGCTCGCTGCTACGGTTCTACGAACTAGGTGCACTTTTGGGACTTTTCTAAACAATATGCTGCATCTCCTTCTGGACACAGCTCCTGGTCCCGCAGGCCCGCTTGCAAAGTCTTCCGGAGTGAGGTCCCGTCTCTTGCACTTAGGAGAGTTGCTTCAAACGGTGTGCCCCCTCCTTTGCAGGCCCTGCACCGTCAGCCGAACGCCGCACAGGCGAGAGCCATAGCCTGTGTGACCCGCCTTTGCCGGCCCGCGGTGCGGTGCCGTTGAGCCATTTGCAGTGAGCTCGTCTGGGCGCCCAAGCACAACTTCTTGACAGTCTGGGCGAGCTCTTGATCGCCTCACCGGACTAGGCCCTGGGTCCGACTTTTATGGGCCTCTCTTTCATGGCGTTTTGCTCCTTCCCCATCTGTCTCCCAGCTTGGGCCACGGGCCCATTTGCTTTGCCTGTTGAGGGGCCCGGCAGACACTTGCAGCCACTGTGGGAGGCCCCTCTCCGTAGGTTCCCCTTTACAGCCTTACACCAGGATGGCGTGCCTCGAGCCCAAGTGAGCGAAGGTCCGAGGTAGAAAGTTTGGCGTTGAAGCGGGTCAGCCTCGGCCGACGCGAAAGGACGGCTACGATGATCAGGTCGGTTTGCAGGATGCTGTGCGGGTGTTCAACGCTTTCGAAGTTTTTAGGTTCGATTGCCGAGGTTTTTCGAGGGGTTTGCTCTCTTCGAGAGAGGCGTGCCGCTCTCGAGCTAGAGGCGTACGGGCTTGAGGGCCCCTTGATCAATGATGTGGCTCACAGTCGCTTCCCGAACGTACGCGTTCCGCCCTCGCAGCGCCGCCACGTCAATGTGCTCGAAACAGGAGCCTTCAAGCGCCTTTGCGTGATTCAGGCAAGAGCTCGGGTCCAGGTGAGATTCACTTCGCCAATCGACTCGAGGTCCCATCAGCCCTGAGGCTCAGATCCCCAGGTCGGTCGGGGACGGCTTGTTGATGATGCGCGTGTGAGGCTCTCGCTGCTTTCTCTCGCGTTAGAAGGTGGGCGGCGAACTGGGCCCGTCTGCTCCTTCGACTTTGGACTTGGAGCCCTCCCTCGCGCCAAGACAGGCACGGCATCTTGGATTGGCGGCTCTCCTTTATCGGCCTCCTTCTCTGGACTTTGATTCCTCGCTTTGATTTCCTGGTGCAGGCTAGTCCCCCACTGATTTCTTCAGGGTTGGTTTCTTCTGGGTTTGGTCTGGGGGTGTTTGGTTTAGTTCTGCCGTGCCACTTAGGCATGGAAGCCTGGGCCCTAGGAACAAAGGCGTCAATCAAGACACAAACTGCGCCGAGACAGACCCCTTCCTGAGGGGCGACCTGAGACGCTACGGGACATGCTGTGGGGGATGCTTCCGGACTGGATCGGGGTATACCGAAGGATTTCTTTGAGTCCTGTGGCATCCCCGATGCCGACGATGTCAACGCTGTTTCCGCTATGCGCAGGCGCCGTACCAAGCAGGGCGACCGTACAATCGTTACGTGGGGGCTGTGAATGCCTTCTCGTCAAGGCACCCAAAGCTGCGACGATTTTTACAGCCAGCCTGGGATGTGGCTTTTCAGTGGCAGCGCTATGAGCCTCACATACACCACCAGGCGATGGCGTGGCAGGTGCTCCTGGCTTTTCTTTCGGCAGCCCTATTTTGGGGCTGGCTGGATGTGGCAGGCATACTCGCGCTTGCATGGGGAGGCCTGGCTAGAATCGGGGAGCTGGTACTTCCAAGTGACGTCGACTACACCGTAGACTATATACTGATGTCTGTGAAAGAATCCAAAACGCGGTTTACCGTGGCCCGCCATCAGGCATTAAGGGTCGACCAACCCCAACTCATGAGGATCATCTTAAGCACAAGAGCCCGATGCAGAAGCTTTGGCCTATGTCTCCGGGCACCTTTCGGCAACGTTGTGCAAAGATCGCTGTTTTTGGGTTGGACAAGATTCCGGGTCACATTCTGAAGCCTCTTGATTTGGGTTCGCTCCGGGCCGGTGGGGCGACATGGCTCCTACAGACAAACAGAAAACGGGGAACTAGTCAGAAGGCGAGACCGGTGGCTCAACCAGAAAATTATGGAGATTTATGCGCAGGAGGTCTCTTCGATACTTTTGCTACCTCGTTTGCCCACGGCCACCGCACAGCGCCTTCTGGAGACAATGCGTCTGTTCCCGGATATGCTCGCTGCCGCTGAGTATTTTCACCGGCACGGATATCCAACAACAACATGGTTTTGGTTTCTACAGTCGGGTTAGATGGGGTAGGCAGGCACACAGCAGTTCGCTTGTACCACTTGTTCGGAGGTGCGGCAAAACGTTGGTGCAGCGACGTGTGCAGAATTTGAGTGGGAAGCCTTGAGAGGCAGTTTCATGCGCTGAGTGCGCTGCGCAAGATTGTGCAATGGGCGAACCAAGATGTGTTCGAGCCGAATGAGAATGAGGAGCCGATTGCCTTTGTCGTGTTCCGCAGAACGAAGACTGCGGCAATGCGGCGACGGACTGCTGGCGAATCTGGCGGCAATGCCAGAATGAAGCCGGCGAGCTATTTCACTCGCCAGTTCACTGTGACCACGCCACGAATGGGATGGATGTGGCCCGAGTGGCTGGCGCTGGACACTGGGGCCACTGTCAGTGCAGTGCCGCCATCATGCGAATGCCAATGAATGATCCAATATGCTGCCGCGACCCCAAAATGTTGCTGACCCTGAATGAGATCACTGAATGGGGAATGTTGGCAACCACCCGCGGACAAACTCTCGATGAGTGAAGGTTAATGGCTAGTGGGACATATATTGGTCCCGCTCAACCAAGCCGTCGGAGGTGGACTGGAGCACGACTGTTTTTTATCCGGGATGATATGGACATGAATGAGACTGAGGCCGCCAATGACTGAATGACCGAACGATCGCAATGCAGCAATGGCGACTGCTCTCGCCCAGACTGCCAACGGCGCTGCGATTGTCCTGCGGAAGAATGCCCAGGGCACTGTCAAGTCATCGCACTGAGCCTGGCGATCAATTTAGGAGTGCGCGACTGCAACTGCTTTGCAATTTGGAGTTTATGTTGAAATGTTGAATGGATTTCTCCAGTGGTTTGCTGAGAATGAAATTCTCTGATGCAAGGTGAACGAAGCATGAGCCGACTGCTTGCAAGTTCGCAATGTACAGTGCAAACTGGCCTCCCAATGCTTTTCACAAGGACTCGAATGTCATCCCGAGTCGAGCGCAGCTTTGATTGTTTGTCTCTTCGAATGTTTCTTGATCGCTTTGCGATGCCGCTACCTGTGCTCGTTAAATGTTTCAGTCTGTTTCAGTGATCCTCGACTGAAATCAGGATCAAGGAACTGTGTTAAATGACACGAGCCCAATGATGCACCTAATGGTCATGATGCTTCTATGAATGCTACGATGCCGAATGGCATTGGCTCAAGACTGGACAGATCGACTTGACGTGACAAAGGAATGTCTGCTTGAGTGTGAGTGTTGGGGAAGAGATTGAACTTGGTTGCTCGGATAGTTGTAGATGTACTGTTGAATTTTGCTCTCTCTCTCTCTCTCTCTCTGTCTCTCTCTCTCTCTCCGTGTCTGTGACAAAGCTGAGAAACTGCCTGTCGAGCATTGGCGGGCTTGTCACTTGCATGACGTTCTTCTTCAGCTGAGGCACGTGGACCAGGCGACCCCGGGCTGTCTTCGCGAGTGGAAGTTCAACCACGACATTCATGGTCCATCAGCATTTCGTCTGCTACGTTTGCATAAGGTCAGGCCAAGGTAGCGAAGCTGAGAGACCACGTCACCCAGCCGAAATCCCAAACTATGCTCTTTCGGGCCCAACGTTGCCCTTCCCGTCACATGCTCGCAAACTCGAAGACAAGGCCCGCACCGTCCGCGACCGCCCAGAGGGACCTCCGACGGGAATCAGCGTGGGATGGGCGCACCCCGGCTGCAAGGGTTGGTTTCGCGGATACGCGATGGACGCGACGTCGTGAACCCACTCCTGTTGCAGTAGCACGTGTTGGGCTTCCATCGACACTTGAGGTATCTCCAGATCGGCCAGTTTCGCTTGGGATACACCGGTTCTTCTGTGGTGATATTGAATGCCAAGGGTGGAATGGCCACCAACAGGCTGATTGAGCAGTGGCACAGCAATGGTCATCTTGACGTCAAGAACGTGGCAGCCCTTGACAACGAGGGCCTTCGCAAAAGCTTCGTCAACCGACCCGCGCATAAATTCCCATGTCCTCAGATCGGCGATATGGCCTTTGGCCCCTGCGATCAGAGCTTTGGTGCATGGGGCGACCGCTTCGTGCAGCTCGGCAAGTTTCGTCTGGCAGCCATCGACGCCAACCATTTCAGTGTCTCTCACAGCGATGGCTGGACTGCACAAATCTTCCGAAGCGATGGAACAACGCACCCAGGACCCCGAAAAGACTTCAATTCGTGGGATAGGCCGATCGGGTTTCCTCACGGTGTCACCTTCGGGAGAAACTTCTTGCAGATTGGCAACTTTCGCTTGGCAGCCATGGACGGCAACCACCTGACCATCTCCCACATGTCTGGTAGCACTGCCGTGATTTACCGAGGGGACGGGCTCGTATTCCCGGGAACAACAGACTGGAATGCCTGGCGGGGGGAGTTCGTCGCCGGGCCCGCCAGCGGCGTCCGGTATGGGAATCTGGGTTCGTGTTAAGGGATTTATTTTAAGCCATAGTAAAATAAACCATGTTATGTACTATAGATCCCTATTATGGTAAACCTTAAACCCTAAAGCCGTAAAAGGAACCCTTATGGATCCCTTAAAGGAGCCCTAAATTATGGTGACTGAAAGTAAAGAAGAACCCAGGAAGCACTTCCTTGAGATCGGCAACTTCCGGCTCGGGGACACGGATGGGGCTCATCTCGTGGTCAGTAAGGGACACCAGACCATCCGAATCTTCAGATGGGATGGGCGCCTTTTCGGGGGAGTTGTGGGCTTTGGACAGACCTTGGCTGAGACGCCGTTGCAGTCGCATTGCGGCCTCATCCAGAGCAGCACCGGCACCTGTCCCGGAATCACCGCAGGCTTGGCCTGGCCACCTTAGCTTAGTCACCTCCCCAAGCTTTAGGAAAGAGCTCCCTAAACTTTCCGTTGGTTAGTAGGGAATGGAGGAATGGGGTACAGCTATAACTACTATTACTACCATTCTTCCATTCCCTACTAACCAAAGGTAAGTAAATCCCTGAGGTGACGGCTTCCTGCAGTTCGGGGACTGGCGCCTGGTCGTCCACTCGGACCACATGCACTTCTCGATCTCTCACCGAGAAGGCCAAACTGCCCTCATCTTGAGCGGGACTGGCATCGTCGTTAACGGACCCAACGCAGGCTGGGGCGGCTGGCACCCTTACTTCGAGCCTCGCCATCCATCGGTGAGATTTGGCGACCACTTCATCGAGTTACACAGCTTTCGCATTGGCTCTATCCGTCACGAGAACAAAGACTACCTCACCATCTCGAGTGGGCACTTCCATCATGGGCGACTCTCCATACTGGCATTTTCGCGTGAGGGCGTGCATACACACCTCCATTTCGGCGGCTTGTATTCTGGTCCACATGCGCGCGTCCTCGGCGCGCCGAAGGGCATCACTTTCGGCGATCGCTTTGTGCAGATCGGCAAGTTTCGAATCGGAGACGTGGATGGAAAACGGTTCTCCGTGGCGCACGTGGGAGAGGATGCCAACGGCCACCTCAAGCAAAACGATGACAAGACCATTGTCGTGTACAAAAACGATGGTTCGCGCGCAGAAACCCCACAGCCAGCAGCGAACGAGGACATCGGTGACACCACTGTGGGCCGCCCCTTCACACCGTGCAGGGTCACCGAGATGCACTGAGCGGGAGCGTCAGAACGTGTACAGAGTTTGCCTGTAGAGCGGTCATACCGTTTCGTCGTGTGCGCTTTCCGGTTTGCACGACATGGGAGTTTCAGAGAGTAGCGGAAGAATGAATGCAAGGATCCGTATTCTAAGGGCCCGACAGGAAAGTACCCGGTTTTTCAGAAGCTCCTTTTGTAACCGATGAGGGGTGCGGTTGCAGCCTGTGGTTCAGCCGGAGCATGATATCACCGACCGAAATCGCACGGTGTTCCATGCATATCCCTTCAAGGGCTTCCCAAAAGGAGGTCCGATATTATCGGTTCCCAGAGCCTCCAAAACCCCGTAATTAAGGAATATACCTTAAATTATATTAGGGATCCTATTACAATCTAAGGTACATTCCTTAATTAAGGGGGTTTTGGAGGCTCTGGTTCTGCTTTCGAGATCCTCCCGCGTTTCTGGGATGGACCGGATCTTTTACTCGACCCGAAAGCCGCGACCGGATCCTTCCTTGCGCATGAGAAGCGGCGAACCGCAGAAAGGCCCCCAGTTTGGTGTGCTCACTTAAAGGCTCATGGGACTTAGTAAGTAAGGTTATAAGTAGGATATAATTGGGATAACCCCACTTAGGGGACTTATAACCCCAATTATAACCTACTTACTAAGTCGCATGATCCTCTAAGCATACATTGAGAGCTGCGTTTTTGAAGCCAGCACCTTGCCGAGATCTACGCTGCTCACATGCCGCTGCTGCTCAAGCCCAAAACCCTCAACATGGGACTTCGACTGGGAGTTTCCGAAAATAGGGGACCCTAATGTACCTTAAATAGAAGGATCCTCATTATAAGGGCCCCCAAATTAGGTACCCTATTTTGGGAAACTCCCAACTGTAGCACTACGGGAGAACTGGAAGCCTTGAAACGTTGCAGGGCTTAGGGTTCAAGAAGCTCAAGAAGCCAGAGAGCCCAATATCCCTTAATTAAGGAATATACCTTAAATGATGTTAGGGATCCTCTTATATTTTTAGGCTATATTCCTTAATTGAGGGGTATTGGGCTCTTTGGGAAACTCTAAACCCTAAAACCCTTACATAGATCCCTTTAAGGAGCCCTTTAAAGTAACCCTTATAAGGAACCCCCCCCCCCCAAAATAGGGCCTTTGAGCCAACTTCGGCTTCTTCAGCCCGGGGTGAGCCGGGAGCAGAGGATCATGGGACTTAGCAACTAGGGTTTATACAGTAGAAGCCAGAAAGTTGGAAATTTATTATCGTAACCCCTTTAAGGTAAATTAAAGGGGATCCTACCATGAATCCATATTCCAACTTTCTGGAGTTCCCTCTAGGGTTTATAGGGGGTCAGGTTTTAAGGGTTGGGGGTATAGGGTTCAGGGTTTAGGGTTTAGGGTTATATAGGGTTTAACCTACCAAAACCTACTTTTTTGGTAGGGGCGCCCCTATAAATTCCATAAGAGGGTTTACGATAAGAGCCCACGAAATAGTGGGTTTGGTAGTTTAAGGCAGGGTTATAAATGCTAGTTGTAGTTATTTGTAGCTCCAATTAAGGTACTTATAGCCTTACTTACTTATGGGCACCAGAACCCGATATTCTATTTATTAAGGCCCCTAGATTCCCTAAGTTACCTTAACCTACCAAAACCCTACTTTTTTGTAGGGCTGCCCTATAAATCCCATGATAGGTTTTACGATAAGAACCCACAAAATAGTGGGTTTGGTAGTTTAAGGTAGGGTTATAAATGCTAGTTGTAGTTATTTGTAGGTCCAATTAAGGTACTTATAGCCTTACTTACTTATGGGCACCAGAACCCGATATTCTATTTATTAAGGCCCCTAAATTCCTTAAATTACTTTAACCTACCAAAACCCTACTTTTTTTGTAGGGGTGCCCTATAAATCCCATGATAGGGTTTACGATAAGAGCCCACAAAGGAGTGGGTTTGGTAGTTTAAGGTAGGGCTATACATGCTAGTTGTAATTATTTGTAGCTCCAATTAAGATACTTACAACCTTTTGTAAATCAGGTAACTATAGTCACAATGACTTATGGCTCCAATTAAGGTACTTATAGCCTTGCTAAGTCTCATGCTCCTCCAAGTAGGCAGAGCCGCAGAGCCTGTGATGGCACAATGCAGGGCAGGGACGACGCTCGTGCGCGGTGCTCGAGCTCGTGAGCGGGGGAAACACATGTCTTTGCAGGTCCACCCCGTGTGAATTGCACGGTTTTCTTGAAGATGAACTTGTGGAACCTTAAACCCTTGTATCGGCGTAGCCCTTAGTTGCCCCCTTTAAGTCCTTGTGGAACTTGTCATTCACGTCGCACGCTGCAGGCTGTTGGATTCGGTGCTCCGTCGTAGTTGCCACACGGTCTCGCCTGGGGCAGCTGCAGAGCCTCAAGCCCCTCATGCCTAAAAGTGGGTTCTTGTTAAGGAGTTTAACTTAAGTTACCATAATGGTAACTCAAAACCCCACCATGTCGTTGCTTCTCGCACATCCCTGGTGCTGCCTGTTGATTTCAGATCTCTGTGTGGGTCGAAGTCGAACAATCAAGGACGCCTATCTTGGAACACCGCGGACATAGCACACCAAGCGATAGTATCCGACACCATGATAGTGATTAGAGGTGCAAGCTCTTCGCAGAGCCCCTAACCCCAATCCCCTCAACCCCAAACCCTAAGCCCTAAGCCCCTGAACCCTGAACGGGTGTTCATGAGCTGTCTCAAGCGCCGTGCGGAAGAAAAGGATGCTTCCACCAAAGCCGCAAAGAGGCTCGTGGCACGCAGCGTTTGGTTCCGCTGTGGTGTGCCTTACAGCCTTTCAATGGGTGGTTGTCAGAAGTATGGTCCCTTTTGGGTCCTTAATTCAAGACGGCACTTAATAGTTTAGGATACCCCCACAAAGAGACCATCATGCTGACGACGACCCCAAATCCTAAGACCCTTCACCTTAAAGGCTTAAGCTACGCAAAGCTCTAGCAGGCTCCGGAGCCGATTGTGCGTTGAGGACGAGGCCACGTCTGTTTCTATTTTTATGTTTTTTTTTGTATTTCTTTTTTTCTCTTTTTTACATAATTGTTGTTGTTGTTCTTTTCCGGCACCTTGTATGGACTATGATTTCTATATCGTATCTGGACTAGTGTATGTGGTAGAACATATCGAGGCAAACTATCTAACCAGTGTAATAGCAGGAAAAGTACATATGACGTGTAGTTCATATAACTGGAATGTGTTGATTGAGATTCAGTGCAAAGCTCGGTCTGGCATCATATGAGACCTCAGTCTGAGTCTTTTGACGGATATGGAACTTGATCCTGAAGTCCCCCAGCGAGCCCAATACCCCTTAATTAAGGAATATGCCTTATGTCATAATATGAAGCCCCTTATAATTCACGGTATATTGCTTAATTAATTGAGGAGAATTGGGCTCTCTGGGCCTGATGTTTTTGCTGAAGTTCCAGGGCAGCTTCACAGATTTCATGTGTGCATCTTTCTCATACAGTGAGCATCAAGGCAGAGAAGCATGCAGACGCTATAAATGAACTCCAAAGAGCATTCTAAGAGCTCCCTATGAACCCAATGAAGTCCTTACAAAAACCGACCAATCCTCAAACCCTAAACCTCAACCCCGAAACCCTAATTAAACTCTCCGAAAACCTGAAGTGCGTAGGACCGTGCTTTCGCAGACGGACACCTGCTCTTGAGCTTGCTCCATGAGGACGACAGCCGGAATCGGGCCAACCTAATTAGTCTCTACCTGAATCCCGAAAATCTTACCATTTTAGGAAGCACTTATATAAGAAAATCATATAAAGGAGCCCTAAACAGGTCGGGTTTTGGGGGTTCAGGTACAGATTAAGGCCCCTATACTGCCCTGGCCTTTGGGGTTTAGCTTGGGATCAGCGTGAATTTAGGATTCTTCATTCAAGAATACCTTGGTATTCGCATTCTATGGAATGGAAGAGTGTCAGGCATCCATACTGCTTGCAGAAGCCTCGTTGAGCTCTTCGGACCTGTGCAAGATGCAGTTGCTAGATAACGAGGCCTTACTGTAACCCCGACCCATAAACCCTAAAGGCCTAAGCCCTAAACCCGTAAACCCTAAACCCGTAAACCCGAAAGCCCTAAACCCCTAAACCCTAAAGCCCTAAAACCCTCCTAAACCCTAAGCCCCTAAACCCCTAAAGCCCTAAACCCGTAAACCCCTAAATTCAAAACTCCTCAGCCGCCTGGCAAGCCGGGAACGCCCTGAAGGACACAGAAACGGACGCTGTTGAGGTGTGCCCGGCACGTCTGCGAGGTTTAGGGTTTAGGGTTTAGGCATACTCCGTTGATGATATAAATCCTGCATTACCCATAATAAGGAGTATACCATAATTCCCATAGTTTAAGGTCCTTAAGGTAAGGCAGGATTCATGTCATCCACCGTCTCTGGGGCTTTCGATATCCAGTTTGAGGTGGGGGCATGGCCGAAGTTTGCAATCCAACATCTCCACTGCGTACTCAGTGCAAGACTTGCAGACTGATCTCCGAATGTGGGTGAAGTTCTCCCGGAAGCCTTAAACTCGATTCGCGCCTGAAACACATCTTGAAGCCCTAAACCCCTAAACCCCTAAACCCTTAAACCCGAAACCCTATGCCCTAAACCCTAAACCCCTAAACCCCTAAACCCCTAAACCCTAAACCTTAAGAGGCTGCTGCGCTGCCTTCGGCTTCCTCCGCGCAGTGGCCGCGCGAGGCGGGAAGAACTGAACTTCTGACGTTTAGGGTTTAGGGTTTAGACTGCTTCTGAGCGAAGTGCGTTTCAGACATTCTCGACTCTGAGCCTTAAAGCCCTGTCAGACTTGATAGAGTCCCTTTAAAGGGATATGTGGGGATTCTATAAGGGTCCCTCATTTTTGAGTGTTGGGTTGGGGTTTAGGATTTTGGGGCGGCAGGCCCAGGCTAGCGGAATCTGTTAGGTTTGCAGGCCTTGGTAGTTTGGAGTTCAAGGCAGTGGCAGAGTACAGTGCAGTTGTCGAGACGCGCACATAAACAAAAAGCCTGCAAAGACAGAAGCCCCAACCCCAACCCCTAAAAGCCTTAAAAAATGAGTCCTTAGATCCCTAGGGTAATTTCTACAGTACCCTAAAATCGTAATCCGTATTATGACGGGCCCCGAAGCCTAGCCTTGAAGCATTAACCCGGACTCTGTACTCCAATCCATGGACCGCTAGCCCCAAACTTCAAACGGGTAGTTGTCAAAATTGAGGTCCTTTTTTGGGTACCCTAAAAAAAATAGGGGCCATCTTATATTAAGGACCCAACAAGGGACCTTAATTTTGACAACCACCCAAACTCATCATTCAGCACCCAAAGAAGCCGTAAACCCTAAAACCTTGAAGCCACCTAAGCCCTTCAACCCCAAACCCCAACCGTAGGACCGTAGACCCTTAAAACCCTGAAGCCCCAAGCCACTTCTAAAATTCTGCTCTGCTCTCCTCTGCTCTGCGCATCGAGGTGTTTGTGTGGTTCTTCCTGGATCGCGTCAACGAGGTCGACACAGCGACTCTGCTTATGTAGTCTTCTTCAGGCTGATCATGCAACTCCAAGGGACTCTTCAACATACCGTTGGCAGTTTGGTCCTAAGGGCGCTTGAGGCTGACGTTGGACTTCTAGAGTTCGCTTGAGCGGTGCGCGCCGGGTTTCGCAAAATTCCTTGGGTCCTTCCAGGGTTGCGCGTCCCTGGTCTTAGGTTTGTACCCTTCCCATGGCGAGTTCTCTAAATTAGAGTCCCGGTTTTTGGGTCCTCATTCTAAGGGTGCCGTATGATAGAGGGAACCCAAAACAGGACTTTAATTTAGAGAACTACCCACATGCCTGATCCACAACATAGGGGCTGAGTAGGTAACCTTTATTCTTTTGAGGCTTATACAATCTAGCCATTGATGTTGGAGGAGCTAAGGAGCCAGTTATGATGATAATCCCTACTAAATAAGGAGCTCAAGAGCCAAGGGAACCCCAAAACCCTTGGTTAGTAATCCTACCATCACTTAAAAGTTTAACCGTTTTTGGGCGGGGATCCTCAGCCCCAGACAATAGGCACAGCGTGTTATTTGCCATATTGATCCCGGTATCAGGAAAGACACCAATTTCAGGTGCTCCTGACCCTCCTCCCTAAAGCCTGAACCCTAGATCCTGAACCCTAAACCCCCACCCCTAAACCCTATGCCCCGAAGCTCGCTTGGCGAGTGTTGGCCTCCCAGCTGGGACCTCAGGCTTTTGGCTATGACTCCCCCTCTGCAGGTTTTGGGATCCCCTACCCTTTGGCTGTACCAAGCACCACCGCTTCAGCTTATCGGGTTAGGAACCTGCCCTAAATCTTAACTAAGCCTGTGCAGCGGCCTAAATTTTTAGAAGGGCTCAGCCACAGGGTGGGACGGGGTGCCCAACCCCTAAAAAGCGCAAAAGCTCTCGGCAAAACCTTATTTCCATCAATCTGGGTAGCGATAGTATTTCGCCCCCGTCACGATGATGTTGGAAACTTTGCGGCGTGCAGCACAGCAAGACCTACCTCTTCTACAGCTGGCTGTAAGGCGAGACGTGGAAGGCATGTTCACAGTGCGTGTGCGCTCAAACACAGATGGCGGCGGCATAGGCAGACTGAACAGGTGACAAGGGTGGCTTTACCGGCAGGCCACCACGCCGAGCGTTGACTGCGTGAGTCTCGTCACCCAAGTACAGAAAACCTTGGCAAAACAGGCACAACCAAACCCACAACTGCACAAGCAAGCCCCCGAAGCTCACTTGGCGAGTGTTGGCCTCCCAGCTGGGATCTCAAGCTTTTGGCTATGACTCCTCTTCTGCAGGTTTTGGGATTCCCTACCCTTTGGCTATACCAAGCCGCTTCAGCTTGTCGGGTCAGGAACCTGCCCTAATGACTGCGCACTACCCTCCTCCTCAAGGACCCTGGCCTCGACAGCAAGTTGCAAGAGCGAGCCTCCGTTTTTGCTACACTCAGAGGAGGTTCTTCCAAGCATCTAGAGAACAGCTTCCGGAATTGGCTCCGTAATTCGAGCGTTCTTTTGGCCCATGTGTTGCAACGATGTCCGACGTGGAAGCACCTCCTGTTCCTTCCCCTCAAAGAGTGGAGTTGCCGCAGGAGTGTAGAACGTCCTTCGTAAATAAATGGTCCTTCCTCGTCTGCCTGTTGCTTGGAGACTTTGTCCGCCCGTCTGGCCCGCCTGCGACAGGAGCGTCAGGATGCAAAGGTGTGGTATTGTCTGCGTGTCTAGAAGATGTCTTGATTGTCTTTCGTCCAAAGCAGGTAGAAGCGCGCAGAGTCGCTAAGATCCTGAAAGCAGAGCAAAAACGACTTCGCAAGGCATGGTTCTGTCTGCTGCCCCGTCGAATGTAGATGTTTGTGAACTTGCCCAGGCCAAAAAAACAGTAGCACGGCAGCTTTCTGAATCGCAGTAAATTAACCCTTGTCGTTTCTCACACGACGGCGCGAATGTTTTAACGCGCATTGAGCCCGGCACTGAGAGTGATCAGCGGTCAGTGAGCTTCGCTGTCGCCTCTCTGGTGTTGAACTGTTGCCCCAGCAGCGAGTATCTGTTGAGCAGTGACTAAGCTCTGCCAGCTTTTAGTACGTGAGTCAGTGAGTGTGAATGAGTGAGCTTTGCTGCGACGAACGGCTGCCTGCAGCGCGTAAAGCAGTGACCAAGCTTCGCTCTTTCTTTTCCAAGGGAATGAATGTTTACGGCTTTGAGCCCGGCGCTGAGAGTGGTCAGCGGTGCGAGCCCTGCCGAAGCAGTGGTAGTAACTTCTTCGTCTTCGGTTGAGCGTGAGCGGTTCAGCAGTGTGCAAGCCTTATCTGAGCCAGGGCACGAATGTTTCACGGGCTTTGAGCCCGGCACTAAAAGCGATGACTCTGCGGGGTGGGGTTTGCCATCTGGCAAAGAGGTCTGCCATCTGGGCCAATGAATGTATGAGCATTGCCCAAACTGTTGCCTGAGCAGCCGGTAAACTTTCCGGCTAGTCAGTGACGAAGCCTTGCTTTGACGTAATCCCAGCCTTCTTTTTCTGAAGGCCACAAAACGTGGTTGCGGTGTAGGGTTTAGGATGAGTAAGTGAGCCTTGCTGTAGTCCATGTGGGCAGCCAAAACTCTTTGTTGACATCTAGCAGGTTTTTCCGAATGCACGAATGTGAGCCCGTCATATCATGCTCATTCGCTTCTGAAATGTTGAGCCTGTTGCAAGGTCGAAGCTGAGCGCCGTAGTCTTTTACGTAGAGCAACGCGCAGCATGGGAAATCTGGATCCGAAATTGTCCGCTTGCAGAAAGCTAGGACAGGCAGACTCTACTGATCCGCCGCAGTTTGATTCGAGATTGTATGCTGCAGGGTGTGAGGATACAGACGAGGGAACCTGAACGAGCCCAGAGGTGGCGGGCAAATGATTTCACCCTTAGGACAAAGCCGGTGGTATAATACTCAGCTGCCAACTGAGTTTGATTGACTCCGGCATGTCTGGGACCTTCCACCGTTCTAATAGTGTTATACTACCCAAAGGGTGTGTAAGTGGGTTCCCTTGGTTTTTGCAGCAGATGGGGTGGGTTCCCTGTGGGTTCCCTTGTTTTTTGCAGCACTTCAGGTGGGCTACATATGGGTTCCCTTGTTTTTTGCAGCATTTCGGGTGGGTCTGTGTATGTTCTTCAGATAGCTTTCTTGTCGAGTCCCATGGTTTTTGCAGCATGGACGGTGGGTTCCCTGTGGGTTCCCTAGTTTTTGCAGCATTTTTAAGTGGGTTCCCATGGTTTTTAACAATATCGACGGTGGATTCTCTGTGGGTTCCCTTGTTTTTTGCAGCACTTCAGGTGGGCAACATATGGGTTCCCTTGTTTTTTGCAGCATTTCGGGTGGGTCTGTGTATGTTCTTCAGATAGCTTTCTTGTAGAGTCCCATGGTTTTTGCAGCATGGACGGTGGGTTCCCTGTGGGTTCCCTAGTTTTTGCAGCATTTTTAAGTGGGTTCCCATGGTTTTTAACAATATCGACGGTGGATTCTCTGTGGGTTCCCTTGTTTTTTGCAGCACTTCAGGTGGGCAACATATGGGTTCCCTTGTTTTTTGCAGCATTTCGGGTGGTCTGTGTATGTTCTTCACTTAGCTGTCTTGTAGATTCCCATGGTTTTTGCAGCATGGACGGTGGGTTCCCTGTGGGTTCCCTAGTTTTTGCAGCATTTTTAAGTGGGCTCCCATGGTTTTTCACCGTCGATACGGTGGGTTCTCTGTTTGGTTCCCGGGTTTTTGCAGCATTTGAAGTGGGTTCCCATGGTTTTCCAATAGGCTCTTTTGGCTTTTGCAGCATGTCAGCTGGGTTCCCTGTGGGTTTCCTAGTTTTTTGCAGCATGTTTAATGGGTTCCCATGGTTTAACAGCATCGACGGTGGGTTCCCTGTGGGTTCCTTGCTTTTTGCAGCATTGCAAGTGGGTTCCCATGGTTTTCCCAGCATATATTGCGCAAAGGTCTGGGCGGGCTCCCTTGGCTCTTGCAGTGTGTCAGCTCGGTTCCCTGTGGGGTACATGTGGGTTCCCATGGTTTCTCCAGCTCGCGCATTATGTTTCAGAGAAGAGTGGAACTGAAGAAGATGTTCAGGACAGTGGCTGCAGGTGTGGCCCAGTTCCATCGCACATCTTGCGCTGCATTTGGATTTGCTGCTTTGAAGTAAGGCTGCAAAAAGCACGTCTGCTATCTGCAGTTTGGGTCGAGACCAAAGACGTTAAACAGGCTCACCTCTGATGCACATGAGGCTCGCCGCCCTCCTGCGGTAATGCTCTTGATAAGTTTGCTGCGGCTAAATGCTGGCACGCTGATGCGAGGATTTTGCGGCATCTACTGGCAGATGTTAATCTCAGCTTGTAGCTTCAACTGTTTCGATTGCTTGCTGTACGTGGGCTGTTTTTGCGCTGGGAAGCTCCACTTGCAGGAGCTCTTTTTTCCTACAGAATCGTAGGAAGCCTCGAAGGGCCTCCCCTGTGCGGGAAAGATCTTGTACGAACAAGAACAGAAGCACTTGTCTTGAAACGGCAGCCGATGGCAAGTTTGGCAAATTTTCCAAAAGTATCTCACATTTCACAGCATGTTGGCTTTCTTGGACGTTGATCCAAACAGCATGCGGAAGGAATTTTGTTTTTCCGTGCAGTTTTCCAGCTGAAACGGGTTCCAAAAAGCAGCTCTAGTCCGGGCACCGAAACGGGGCCCCCGATTTTTGGCTTTCTTCGTTGGACATACAAGCTCACGCAATTCGGGGCCCCAGATTAGAGCTCAGATTTGGGAGCCATTTCTGGGGCCCAGTTATGCCGTTTTTTCGTCGAGCAGATGCCACATCTGCGTGCACAGCTGGCCGTTGCGTGCAACAGTATATAAACCTCGCCAGCTCTGTTTTGCATTTTGCCGGTGTTCCTTCAAAACTCAAAATAACAAGTGGAACGCTCGCAAACATGTGAACCTTGCAAACAGAACTTTCTCACACAGTATCCACTCAAACAAGACGACTTTTGTGCC